AATAGCAAAAAACCCATAGGAAATGAGATATTTCCAAAAAAAGCGCAAAAAACCGATTTTTGTGACCTTTGACCTTGAAATTTAATAGTTGCTTACACCCTACCATATGTAGGTTTTGAGACAACTTTTAGGTTGTCAATATACAAGTATTTACAGACTTACAGCTGGGTATCTCGTATTCCGAGATTCTTACCTAATTCAAGCTTAAATGACTGGATTATGCAGTGAAAGCTGCCTTGGAAGACGGGGACGAATATCATTCGGCGGTCGATGTCGAAACTTGGATTCACAACTGACCGCCTTGAAGATCCTCGTTTATCTTTGATTTTCAAGGATTGGGTTTTCAGTCGATCCCATAGATGGTGTTTTCGTAGGGGGAGGTATCATTGTCTCAACTCACTCAGTCTTGTCCTTTGATAATAACAGTTGTGTCCAGCAGGGCATTGTGGTTCATCCTAGTCCCACTGATGATACCTATGGCGAGTTGAAAGAGTGGTGTTCGATGTTCGATCACAAATGTGTTGTAGTTGGGCTATAGTTTCAGTTTTTATATTACGATATGAGTTAGGTGAAATTTTAGGAAAATGTTTTTTTACTGTTTTTTTGGGTTTATAACCTCCCACAATCTGAAAAAATTTAAGCAAAATCAATAGAGAATCTGATCAAGTATTTTGAACGGCAAACTGAAAAGTTCACACCGAAAAGTTACTGCGTAATATAAACTACTGGAAAGTCCAATAAGTCAGTCAAACTGTGATAGTTTAAGGCGAGATTTTTATAGTGAATACAGGTTTCGAAAACGAAAAAGGATTGTTTTCCGAAACGTGGAATCAATATTTTTTCAATTTGTAGGCAACATTTATGAATACGACAAGTTACTGACTAATTGTATTGTTCAATAGTGTATATCACGCAGTAACTTTTTGGGGTGAACTTTTCACTTTGCCCTTTGCTACACTTCAGCGGATTCTCTATTGATTCAGCTTTCATTTTTTCAGATTTTGAAAGGTTATGAACCCAAAAAACAGTATAAAGTATTGAGTCCTTCACGAAAACATTATTCTTAATCACAGCGTTGATTATGAAACTCTGTCTACTTTTTCCCTTGAATTCTAATTTCCCTTTTCAATTTTCAGGTTTAATGATCTATTTCTTTTATGGAATATCACACAGCAGCGAAAATCTATCAAGAATTATAACGAAGAAACCAGTCAGTGGATCTGAAAAAGAAGTAACTGAATTTTGATAATGCTGAACGAGTGCGAATGAGTATGACAAAGTTCAAACGAATTTTTATGTATAAATGTATGTATGGACCGGAGACTACAATTCTTGAATGGCAAGCTGTTTTAGAGGATCTGGAAAACTAGACTCATTATTTGGCAAATACATCACACCTAGTTATTAATATGAACTGAAAATGTTTCCTCCTGAATGAATGTGATATGAAGAGTTTATATTTATTCTACGAAGGGATAATTCAATATTGTAGTTCTCGTATGTTCAAATGTGATAATTAATTTTTTGTCGAAGAATGACGGGGGTTTCACTTTCATCGTTTGATAGTTATATAGATTTGAAAGAAAGTAAGAATTATTGGAACGAAATGTACATATTCAACGAAAGTCATTTTTTGTGGGGGTCGATATGAAATGTACATGTTCTCACATTCCAAATTTTTACGATTATTTGAGTCAGTAATGTCATTCAGCTGTTAAAAAAATTGCTGCAAAGAAACACATTATATTTAATGAACTCAAAGTCTTTCATGCGGCACCCATAGACCATCATATCATGAACTTTACTGGGATTCTACGAGTAGAATTCCTGCTTTTAGCTGGAAAACAGCATTTTCACTCTAGATTATGGACTACTAATGGGCTCATCACTATCATCGCTGATAACAAATATATCCATGAAATGTTTAGAAGAGCTTTTTATTGAGGAATTTTATACAAAACCATTAGAAAAACAAGTTGCTACGAAGACGACCGTTGTAAATAAATATAGGGCTGTGGTAAAAAAATCATTGAAAATATTATTACATGAGCTCTACTCTATCAAGATATGATTCTATTGAAGTATCAGATAACGACTGTGAATTTTTCTCTATTCTAGGGTTATAGCATTGACTTCATAAAGTATGTTTATAAGATTTGTGAATGTAGTATTTGAAAGTTTTTTATCGTAGAAACAAAAAGACCGTAGTATAAGTTTATAGTAGGTATAAATATCCGGAATCATTCATAGATAGTAGTAGATACAAACATAATTCAATTGCTAGCAACATGATCCATTTTGATAAGATGTTATGCCCTTTAATTGTTCATTTTTTCATACTTTCACGATATTTCATGTTTTTATATTTATTTATACCTAATCTTCACCACTTCATCTGATCTGATCGGATCATTTAAGTTCTATATTTTTCAAAAATTTTTATTTTGATTTGAGTTGTCACCAGTTGCTGGTAATTTTGGAGGACGACTTATATAACCAGAAGAAGCTACTGTAAAGCGAAACACGTGTTGAGTTTTTGTTAAACTGTTCAGTGAAAATCTTACAATGAAGTGTTTCTTGTATAAAGAAAAGAATAATAAAGATATTTTGTCATCATCTCTAAGACTAGTTCAGAGATGAATATTACCCAATAAAAATTGCTTTTCTATGAGAATTTTTAGTGGAGATAGATTGACATAAGATTATTGATTATCGTTGAAATGTTCATTCATGTCTTTGGGTCTCTCTTGTGGCATTTGTTTCTAGTCAGTGTGATATAAATATATTTTCCATCCGTCCGGTATTGTTTTGATGCTGAATCTAATACATGTTTTCATATCGATAGATTTTGATTTCTAACTGCAAATAGTTTTATGATTATTTCCTAGATGAGTATTGTTAAATATAAGTCTAATTGTAATACGCTTGATAGTGAAAAAAATATAAAAAACGTTCAATCACATTATCACGTAAGTGCCTCATACAATTTGTATTATTTTATTCAGAGTCTGTAAATGATTTTTTCATTTTGTCATTTATGTGATCCATGTGTACTATCGACTTGAATTTGTTTCTAAAATTCAACAATATAGTTTACAATATTATATGTGAAAGTGTACAGACAATAAATGACAGTTTCAAACTGACTCATTATTTCTTAAAATTTCTTAAACTCTCAGAGAATCCTAACGCTTTGTAAGAGCTACTTAATGAATATTTATAGCACTATCCTAATAAGAACTAAACATTTTTCACATTTGGACGAAGTTCATAATGTGAAGATTGTTTAATGTGTTTAGTGTGACGTTTGTATTCACCTGCCTAGGTATGGGAGCATGGAGGATAATAGAGTCCCAATATTGGCTGCTCTCATTCAACCTCGAACAAATTGTTTGGAACTCTGGAACCAAAAATGAAAAACTTAACAAAGGTTTGAATTGAAAGGGGCATATTTTTGGGAAAGATGAAGAAGTAGAAAGCCAACATAATTTTTCCCAAAACTAACGAAGGCCTTAGGTAAAGATGGGGAGTGATCATTGGTTAATGATGCCGGCGCGCCCTCTGACTGTATCGTGACTTCTAGAATTGGTCTCGTCCGGCACAACTTCTTCTGTAAAAACATAATACATGGTTTTTGAAAAAACTCAAATATAATACAAATATATTGCCGTGATCATACCTTATCATATTGACCCAACATCCGAGAATCTTCAACTGGCAAAGGTCAAGACGATTAAAGATGGAGGAATCCTCATCGGTTGCTGTAATACTTCTGATAATGAAAAAATTAGAAAAGTGGTTGAAGAGAAAATGGCTGACTCTTATGATGTTAAAGAAGTCGCTGGCATGCATCCTCGACTACGAGTGGTAGGTATGGCGAAAAATTATCCAGAACATGAGCTTAAGAAACTTCTGGTAAATGGTAACTCCGAAATTTTTTCACATGATTCGAAATGTAAAATATTGAAAATATCTAATATCTGGCAGTCAATTATTCAAGTAAATAAAGTAGCCTATGAGCGGGCTCTCAACTCTGGAAATGTGGTCATTGGTTATGATAACTGTGCTGTTTATGACGGCATTGATGTGTACCGCTGTTACAAGTGTAACGACTTCAATCACTCCTCTCGCAACTGCCATAAACCAATTTCCTGTTAGATTTGTGGGGGTGCCCATGAATTGAATAAGTGTCAATCATCCGTTAAAAAAATGCTCTAACTGCATGAAATTAACTAACAAAGATGTGAATATTGATCATGCAGTTTGGGAAAAAAATAAATGCGTCTCGTACGCAGAAACTTCAAAAATATTTAAGAATAGTCACTTAAGTTCTCAATAGCAACTACAGGGTAATTGTCATATTTCCCTCGTAGCTTCAAAGCCAGGTGTTAGTAAAGATACGAACACCTTATCAATTTTTTACCAAAATACTCGGGAATTGAAGACAAAAACTGGTCAGATACTGAATTCTGTATTTCAAAACGACTATCGCGTTTTTGCACTAACCGAAACCTGGCTCGACTCATCCATCACTAATTTAGAATTATTTCCGGACAGCTTCAACATATATAGAATGGATCGCAATTTTGAACGCACTTCCTTAACAAGAGGTGGAGGTGTCCTTATTGGAGTACATGAAGACTTTATTTCTCCAGAAATTAATCTATCGGATTCTAACTTTCCCACGCTCAAACTGATTGATATAGTTGTCGTTAAAATAACCTATTCACATAAACAAATTTTTCTGCTAAACGTTTACATACCTCCTCAGACTCCCCTAGCTGAGTTTGAACAACTCTGGAATTACTACACATATTACATAATAGTGCAGTTCCCATTGTAGGAGATTTTAATATTAGCGATTATGCTAGCCATCTTAATCATGGTACAACTAATAGGGAAATTACTATTCTCAATAACTTTTTACAAATCCTTGACCTATCTCAAAATAACTTTGTATATAATAAACTCAATAGACTTCTTGACCTGGTATTTTTTAATGGAGAGTGTCATGTGGAGAAATCAATGGATCCTTTCGTAGTCGAAGATCTGCATCATCCTGCCTTGGATAGTACTTGTGTACTTGAAATGAAAGCTAACTACAAAAAAAAACTGCATTTCTGTTTCTAGAGTAATTATAATTTCAAAAGAGCCAACTATCCACAACTGAATAATCAAATATCTCATAGTGACTGGACCTTCTTGGAAGTTCTTGATGACTCAGAAGATGCATCCACATATTTCTATGGAAAACTTTATAATGTTTTTGATCGCTGCTGTCCCAAGTATACAGTTGAATCCAAAAATAAATATCCTCCTTGGTATAATAGAAGCATTATTAGAGATTTGCAGACTAAAAGCAGAATCTGGAGCAAATACAAGCGTGAGTGTAATCTGCAGGCCCTGCAGCAAAAATAAAGCATGATGTTGATGTGGCATATAAAAAATTCTTAGGTGAAACTGAGAAAGAAATACATATCAATCCCAACAGATTTTGGTCATTTATAAATAATAAACGAGGTAGCTCCAAAATATCACAAGTACTGAATTTTGAAGGTCAACTGCTGGAGGGGCCCTCTAATATCGTAAACAGTTTTGCCAATCTTTTGAAACAATCGTATACCGCTTCTTCCCCTTTTCAACCAAACTCTGATATTGATAATAATCACTTTATTGATATATCAAGCTTCAGTGAAAACGAAGTATACGAGGCACTAAGGTTGCTCAAGCCTAAAAAGACCACTGGTCAAGATGACATACCAGCTTTCATCCTAAAAGATTGTGCACTTGTGCTTGCTCGTCCTCTATCTATACTAATTAATATCTGCTTGAGATCGGCTACAATACCAAGGATCTGAAAATCATCAAAAGTCTGTCCCATTTTCAAGAAAGGAGATAGACGAGATATTTCAAATTTTTGGCCTATCTCTATTATTTGCAACTTTGCAAAGGTTTTTGAGATTCTGCTGGAGCGAGTTATATATCGGCATGTTAGTTGTAATATAAGTATAAACCAACACGGTTTTATGAAAAATCGTTCAACGGTCACCAATCTTCTGACTGTAACCCAACATATTGCTGAATCTATTGACAAAAGGGCAAAAACTGATGTTATTTACACAGACTTTTCTAAGGCCTTCGACAGGCTTGACCATGGCATTCTACTGAACAAACTAGTAGCCTTTGGATTATCTCCATCCTTAATCGCACTCTTTCAGTTCTACCTACGGGATCGAAAACAATATATTCAGCTCAATGGTTTCAAATCTACCGAATATAGTGCTTCTTCCGGTGTTCCACAAGGTTCAAATCCCGGACCGTTGCTCTTCAATATATTCATTAATGATATTGCAGATGTTATAGATGTGTATTTCCTTTTACATGTCGATGATCTAAAACTATACTGCCTCGTTGAGAACAAAGATGATTGTGTGAACCTCTCAGCAAACGTAGAACGGGTTGTAGAATGGTGTTATCGAAATAACTTCGGTCACTGAACCCGGATAAATGTAAGGTCATGTCCTACAGTTTGAAAACGAATATCTTGATCTTTGATTATTCAATAGAAAACGTTTCCCTGGTGAGACCAGAAACATTTACTGATCTTGGCGTCACATTTGACACTGCACTATCATTTTATAGGCTGTCGTTTGTACGGATTAATTGCACGTAACAGTAGTGATTTCAAAGAAACTTCGACCTTAAAAACTTTATTCTATGCTTTCATAAGATCAAAGTTACAATACGCGTCAGTTGCGTGGAGCCCCTTTTATCAATATCACATTGATAGAATAGAAGCAATTCAACGACGATTTTTAAAACTGCTAAGCCTAAAAACCGATGGCATTTATTCTCCAATAGGAACAACCCACTCTGAATTGCTACAAAAGCATAATTTTTAAGTCTCGAAAAAATGCGTGAATATTATAGTGTTGCATTAACCTATAAAATTATCAAAAGCATAGTTGACTGCCCAACATTACTGGAAAAGTTTAATATTTGCATTTCTAGAATCTGTTCCAGACACCCGAGTACTTTCTATATAAAAACATCTCGCATAAATGTTCTGGAGAATTCTCCGATTCATACCATGTATAAAGTGACAAATTCTGTTAGCGATAATTTAGATATATTTAGTTGCAAATTGTCAAATATAAAATACCACTTCCTAAAATAATTGTTTTGTCACCTATAATAAATATAAAATGTGTGGTCTTTATAGTCACTTGTTTGTATTGTTTGTAGTGTTTGTAGACTTTACAGTCAGTTGTTTCTGATGTATTTATTATACTCTGTTATTTCTTGCTCTGTAATTGGGCTATGTCGTGTAGAGTATTGTATTACAAATAAAATAAAAATAAAATAAAATAAAGGAGTCGAGTCCACTGTGCAAGAAATCCAGCAGCTTAATTTTATATTCAATAACAATTTGACATTTTTAGTGAAAGTTAGTAAAAGTTATTCAAAACAAGCAAAGTTGTTTTTGATATGTGGATAAAATCATCCATATTATTTGTTCCTTCGAACCGCATTGCTAATTTAGTCATTTTTCTTGTGCAACAAGTCTAATAGAAATATACTCCTGAAGTTTCACTGAGAAGACATTAATCAGCGTTATCGAGTGCTATATCAAGATATTGAATTACTTGGGAATACCATGCAACCTCGACAAAACTGTAAGTCTGTTCCATTTTACTATAGAAGATAATCAGTTTGAAAACCTGAGTGCATCTGACTCCTCCAGTCAATCATAATTTCTGAAAAGACTATAAAAATAGCCTTTGTTGAAAAAAAAGTAATACAAATCATGAAATTATGAAACAACAATAATTAATTGGCGCTTCGGGGCGACTTCATTGATACCAGTGGCGCATTTGCTTTTTCAGCTGCAGAAAAACCCGGAAAAACCTGCAGCACCACATCATCTGAAGATCTTGATTTGCCAATGTCCTCTCTTTCGTAAAACAAAATGTAGGGTATCTCCAGTGACACGACTATTGTCAAATTCAAACCAGTCTGTTTCGTCTTTGACCAGTGCGTAATAATGGCCAGATTCAACGCCAGAACCACAGTGAACGATGACTGCATGAAGATTACAATAGTGGTCTGCCTTTGTTTGAATTTCGAAATTATTGTCGAAAAAACA